AAGTGTATACATCACAGGGATTTGAGGAGTCACTACCATTTCTGTGAACCTGCACAGTGGGAGATCCCCAAGACCATCCTCACTAGAAGGACTCACAGAACTCAGCAAAGTTGTTATACTCATAGTTTATTACAGGGAAAGAATATGGATTAAAATCAGTAAAGATAAAAGGCACATGGGATGGGGTCCGGGAGAGACCAGGTACAAGCTTCGGTTGTCCTTCCTGTAGGGTTGTGAGGACAGTGCTTAGTTCTCCCAGCAATGATATGTGTGATGCACTGCCAACCAGGGAAGCTGACCTGAGTCTCAGTGTCCAGGCTTCTCATTGGGGGTTGGCCACTGTATCCGGTCCCTAGAGCTGCCATAACAAAACACCCCAGACTGGGTGGCTTAAACAATAGAAATTTATTTTCTCATTTTTGAAGGCTGAGAGTCTGCAGACCTCAAGGCGTCAGTAGGGTTGGTTCCTTCTGAGTCCTCTCTCCTTGACCTAATGAGGAAACGGGGACCTAGAGATAAAGACTCAAGTGCAAGTCGTTTACTTGGGAAGTGATCCAGGAAATGGTGGAAGGGAGGTGGAGAAGTGAGACTGGGAAGGGAATGAAGTTGGTAGAGTACATTTATATGCAAGTTTCCACTGTGGGCAGCTGGAGCTCAATCCCATAGGGACTTCTGGGGGTCAGTGTGTAACATATACCTCAGTCATCCGACGTGAGGAGTGAGGGAGCTGGCTTACTTATCCACCAAATCCCATTGTCTGCCACAGAGGTGCAAAGCTCTGCTCAAACCTGGCCACCCCCCTCTACCTGCATTTCTTCTTTCCAAAATTCCACATATATATTGAGGGCTGAATTATCCATCAGTCACCATAAGCACAGCACATCAGGTCTACAGCCAGTGAGAACATTTGGGGAAAAGAAATCACACACACACACACACACACACACACACACACACACACGGGCTCCAAAATCCAAATAGCAACTACCAAAATCCAGATGAGTAATAGTACAAACATCACAAAGGGTGAAGTTTAGCATTTATAATGATTTCATTATATAGTTTGTAGGTCATTTGTTCTCACTTATCAAGAATTCCTTATTGCTAAGGAAGAACCACAGCCAACTGTGAGTTATATGAGCTACATAGTCAAATAAATGCAACAGAAAAAGTACAGAAACCCTCCCAAAAGGTTTACCAAAAAAAATAATAAATATTGATATGGCTGCTTTTTAATTATTTGATGTGATATGGGTGGGGTCAAGGGCTGCTCTCATCCCCACATTGGCTTCCAGCTCCTCTGAGGTCCTAGGGTACCCCAAGAGAACCCTAGTCCTACACCCCCTGCCTTAGACTTGTAAATAGGTATTGTCTTTACCCCCAACCACTCTCCCCACTATCAGCAGCTACCTCAAAGACATCTGGGCAGGGATCTGATGAGGTGCACCCCATCCCTCTTCAGCCTGATTCCTCCCAAACACACACACCCAAGGAAAATACACAGAGCTAAGAGACTTGTGAGACACTACCAACATACCAACATATACACAATGCGTCTCCCAGAAAGAGAGAGGAGAAAGGGGCAGAAAGAATAGTTGAAGAAATAATAGCCAAAAATTTCCCAACGTTGATGAAAGATATGAATCTACACATCCAAGAAGCTCAAAGATCACTAAGTAGAATAAACACATAGATCTACATTGAGACACCATAAGCAAACACACTTTCTCTGTCCAGGCCTTCTAGCCACTCATCTTGTCCAAAATTTCATCACCTGGCACCTGATCTCCTACCTGAACATTCAGCAGTGAAATAGACAGATAAGCATCTGGTGGAGTTTCAGTCTAAACAAGGATGTAGATAAACTAGAACAAACTACCGGTGCTATTAAGTTTAAGCTGAAGCAAGTATTCGAAGAAATGAAATACAGTGATGTAATCATGACTGGGTGGTGGTAGGTTGTCAGGGAGGGCCTCCCAAGGAGGTGCCATTGAAACTAAAGGATGTGAAAGAGACAGCTTCAGAAGAACCAAGATTTTGCCCGGCCAGCTTGGCTCAGCAGTTGAGCATCAACCTATGAACTAGGAGGTCATGGCTTGAGTCCCAGTCAGGGCACATGTCCAGGATGTGGGCTCAATCCCCAGTCGGGGGTGGGGGGTGGGGGGGGTGTAGGAAGCAGCTGATCAATTATTCTCTCTCATCATTAATATTTCTCTCTCCCCCCCACCTTCTTCTCTGAAATCAATAAAAATGCATTTTTTAAAAAGAACCACCAAGGCTTCTGAGGCAGAGGAAACTGCAAATACAAAGGGCCTGAGGCAGCAATAGTTTGTGAAGGAGTCCCAGAGAGGAGGCTGAGGTGAGTGCTGGGGACAACAAAGGAGATGAAGGCAGAAGTTTTGTTGGATCTGGATTTTATTCTAGGTGGGGATCTGGATTTTATTCTAGGTGGGATGAGCAGTCATAAGAAGAC